GTTTTTCAGAAGTGTCTAAGAAGGCAGGAAAATCATCCTGCTCACTCCCATTGTGGAAGCCCACTGATCCAAAACCAGGGTAGAAAGCCACATTTTGGGTAGGCAGCACAMAATCACTGCTGGTTGTATCACCATGTTGTCTGTCCTTCTGCCCTGTGCCACTCAATTGCTACCTTAAATTTCCTTGGCCTGCTGAAATTGTTAATTCATATGTCTTTTATAATGAAGCTTCAGTCTCATTTTCTGTAAAAAGAATCATCCTTCTTTTATTTAAATGTGATGTAATTTAAGGGAAGTAAAAAGAGTAAGCAAAGCTGCCACTCAGTTTCATGAAGAAATGCTGGTTGTGGGTAGCACCATTCAGGAAAGTACTTAATCCCCTTTTTACATGAAAAGTGACACTTTGCACCCAGTTACTAATTTTGCATATTAAGGATGACATGTTTATAAATTATGGAATTGTCAATAGGTTTGTGCTGAAATAAGGAGATGCCARAAGTACTGAGGCTTTTAGAAGTAAATTCATTTTTGTAACTGGCATGTAATCAACTTAGCTGTCACTTCAGATAGGAAACTTATTCTCTGGAGCAAATAAAAGATGGAAATCTTGAGATGATAAATTAATGGAATAGCTGTTGTCAGGTTAAAGCTAATAATGTAAAGTAATCAGCCTCCATCTCTWTATGAAATTACTGCATTATTGGTACAGAGTGGCTTGACATGAAGTCAGGTCTTTGACAGTTTTAAATTATTTCTAAACAAGTTGTATCAAGATTCAYCACACAGTGCCTAAATTACAACTTTCACCCATGGTTTACACACAGTATTGTTTGAAGAAGAGTGTTTAAGGTAAGCTTATTTGAAAATAGAAATAGAATCCTAAGGATGAAAGGATGATGTCATCTGACATAAACTTTCCTGTGTTTCTCAGAAACCTCTTGGCCAATCCCTTCAACTGCAACTGCCATCTCGCGTGGCTTGGGGACTGGCTAAGGAAGAAACGCATCGTGACGGGAAACCCTCGCTGCCAAAAACCCTACTTCCTCAAAGAGATTCCTATCCAGGATGTGGCAATTCAGGATTTTACATGTGATGATGGTAAGGAAATCAATATTTGAACCTTTTATAATTTCAGCTTTTATATGGATAGCTGCATGACTCCCATAGATCCCCAAATATTGCACTTTAAAGGCCTTCATGCTCAGTTTCTATGTCAGTTTAAAAATTTTCCACCCATTTTTGGATGATCCACCCATTTTTGGCTGTTGTATATATGCCTTCAAAAGCTTTTCTTCCCTATGTTCAGTACTATAATTAATCATTTAGAAATAATATTAAAAAAATTGATCAAATGTTATAGTACAGATTTTCAAACACTGATGCTTGAATCAAGCACACTTTCAGGTTTCTTGATCAAATAACATGACATATTATAGTTTGTGGCTTCGTTAACTCTTAATTAAAGGAAATGCTGCTATCTGGCATCTCTCACACATAGTTCCTTTTAGTGCATTATTGGTTTGTCAATTTTCAAGGCTGTATCTATTTTTAAAGAGACTGTTTTAAAAAGTTTGTTAATTTTATTGTCTTCATTTCAGGATTTATTTTTTCTTTAATGATTTTTCAGGGTTAAACATCATTCTATTAAGTGAAGCATCACTTGAAATGTAAATTCTTGGAGTGATGGTTTACATAGATTATGCAATTTTTTCCCTACCTTGAGGTATTATAATGCAGCAATATCATGTTGGMTTAAAGCAAGTCCAGATGGGCTATTACTACTAATGCTGAAGTGACATTTATTAGCAATCTTAGCATCTGTTTGTTTTTATTAACCAGGAAATGATGACAATAGTTGCTCTCCCCTGGCCCGCTGCCCTGCAGAATGTACTTGTCTGGACACAGTAGTTCGCTGCAGCAACAAAGGTCTAAAAGCTTTGCCTAAAGGCATCCCAAAAGACGTAACTGAACTGTAAGTGGCACMCTTTTTTCCCCCTTTTATTAAAATTAATGTCAGGGTTTTTTTGTCGGGGTSAAGAATGAGGGGAAAAGAAAATTAAGAATTGAATTTAGTAGATAAGTTGATATTTGTTAATCCACTGCATTATAGCTAYAAAGACTTTCACATTATCTTAAGGCACTTGAGGGTAAGTTTGAATTAGCAATGCTTTGTATGTCCCAAACCATTCTTAAGAGCTATTTGTTACTGGAAAGCTTTAAAAATATATGTATGTTAAATTGTATTCACTCTCAGAATTTATATCCCCAGCACTGAACCATTGTATAACTGTTTGTGGATATCATTACAATAAGTTAATTTAGAGGCAACAGTGAATCTGAGTAATCTCTGGTCACTGGTTAGGAAAGAATGAATTTCAGTTACATGAAAAAGCAAAAAGAAAACAATAATATTAACATGTTTACATAATGAACATGTTTTTATACCTCTAAGTCAATACTTTTTACCCCTAAATCATGCACCTTAATCCTCTAATCAGTGGCCTTCACTTCTGTTGAAGACTTAAAAACATCCAGACAATTAGCTTTATGGTACTAAGGGAGTGGACTAGGAAAGGTGCTCTCCTGGATTTGTTGCATGTTAATAAGGGGATTTTGTGAGTGAAGTATCATCTGTGTCTGTCTTGGCCACAGTGGTCATAAAGCAGTCGAGTTGGAAATGTCTGTTGATAAGAGAAAAAGTGCTCRGATAACTTCAGCTCTGGATATGAGGAGAGCAGACTTCAGGCTACTCAGGGAAATTGTAAGATCTCCATGGGAAATGCTTTGGAAGGTGCTGAGGTGAACCTGTGCAGGTCACTTTTTAAGTATCACCTGTTAAGAGCTAAAGAGCAAACAAYTGGAAAATGTCAGAAGCCAAGCAGGTGAGGCAAAAGGCCAGCTTGGCTAAGCAGGGATCTTCTGGAGCTAAGGGCAAAAAGAAAAGTGTACACATAGTGGAAACTTGGTTGGGTAATATTGGAGGAATACAGAGGGGCTGCTTGTCACTGTAGGAAGAAAATTGGTCCAATTAGAGTTGAAACTGGCCAGTACTGCTGGGGGCAATAGAAGGAGCTTTTTAAAATGCCTTAATAATGAAGGGTCCAGAAATAACACTGGTCTGTTTTTTAGACGAGTACGGTCACCTCACAAACAGGGACATAGACAAAGCAAAGGTGTTTCATGCTTTCTTCMCTTCTGTCTTCAACACTAATGATCRACTCAGATGGTCCCAATGCCCTGAGCTACARGACCCTGACTGTGAAAATTAACTCCCACCCAACCCCAAAATTGCACAGGGTTTGCTGCTCCTGCTGGCTTTCTCTAAGTTTATGGRGTCTGATGAAATTTATCCAAAAGTACTAAAAGAGATGGCTGATGTTGTTGCAAGGCCTCTCTCAATGATTTCGAATGTTCTTGGTAATCTGGACGGTCCCAGTCAMCTGGAAAMTGGCAAATGTTGTCCCAATTTTTGAGAAGGGCAAGAAGGTTGACCCTGGTAACTGCRAACCAGTCTGTTTCACTTCAGTGTGAAGTAAAATTGTGGCAAAGGAAGGTTATTTTTCAGAGGGTGGTTGGGCATTGGAACAGGCTCCCCAGGGAAGTGGTYRCAGCAGCAGGAAGTGTTTGGAGCACCACGAAGTGTTTGGACAATGCTCTCAGGCACAGGGTGTTATTCGAGGGGCTGTCCTGTGCAGGGCCAGGAGCTGGRCTCAGTAATGGTGTGCAYTGGSAAAARTGTAGCCAGGAGGTCAAAGTAGCTGATCCTCCTTCCCTTGTGAGGACARTTCTGGAGTATTATGTTCAATTCYGGTCTCCACAGTTCAAGAAAGACAAGGAGATACTGGAGAGGGTCCAGKGGAGKGCCCTCTGCCTATTATTAAAAATAAWGATTAGGGGCTAAAAATCTCTCCTRTGAGGAGGGTCTGTGGGAGCTGGACCTGGTTAGTCTGGAGAAGAATACGTACAAACATCTCTAAGGTGGGCACCAAGAGGATGGTGCCAKACTCCTTYCTGTGGTGTCCAGSAACAGGAAAAGAAGTAATGGCCRTAAACTAAGCYACAAGAAGCTGCACCTCAGCATGAGGAAGAACCTTACACTGAAGGTGTCAGAGCACTGCAAAGGCTGCCCAAGGAGGTCATGGAGTCTCCTTCTCTGGAGACATTYAAAACACACCTGGATGTGCTCCTGTATGACCTGATCTCAGTGACCCTGCCTTGGTACAGGGGAGTTGAATGCAATGATCTCCATAGGTCCCTTCCAGTCCTAATGATTGTGTGATTCTGTGACCCTTCCAACTCAGAATATTCTATGATGCAGTGCTTGTGATAGTTTTGTGATATTTCAGAAATACTGGTTTTAATAGAATGGCTTTCTTTTCCCACAGGCAGTTTTATAAAATCTGGGATATTTTAYTAATCTATTGACTATAGAAATTCATAGCAGCTGAGGCTGAAATGTGTTACATTCTGAAAGCAGTTTGTGGTTTCTTGTAGAAAAAATGTTAAGATTGTATTTTATGAAAGATACCATTTGAATGTGCAGGTGGACAGTAACATAGATATAAAAAAGAGCTTACTACCTCATGTTATTGTTTGAAGATATTAACAGAACAAGCTACTCATAAAATTATATGAGAAAATTTTTAATCATATGAAAGGGAAAATGAGACCCTAAAATTGAGATATTAATTTGTTTTGAAACTTGACCAGATAGGTCACAAGAGTGAAAGAAATTGAAATTATTTACAAGAAAAAAYGTTGGTGTGTGTTAGATATGGCAAGTAGTTTCATAATGCCTGGTTAATGTAGTGTTTTTCCAGAAAACTTTTTAACTTTGTGGTCATAAGAAAATGGTCATAAGAAAATTTTCACTAGAAAATTGTACTGTTGTTATAGTTTGGTATTCTGTAGAAGATTCTGAAATATCCACCATTAGTCTCTTGCTTAATAGCATCTAAAAGTCTTTAGCCATTAATAAATTGAAATTTTTAAGAACTCAAATTAGCACACAGGTATATAAACCTATAACTTCATTASGTTTTGGGTTTGGTGTTTTGGATTTSTTTCCTCAAAGAGAAGATGACTTTYTTGAATATAGTCTGGTGTAAATACAATTTGGCAATATAAGGTCATCAATACAGTGTAAAACAAAGCATCTAAAGAGAGATACTTTTGGAACTGCAAGTGGAACTCTGTGACTGAAAATTCATTTGTGTACAATTTTGTATGCTTTAATTGGTGTCTAAGCATGCAATTTAGCATATTTTCCAAAAGGATAATGGAAGTGGTTCCTGTTAACAGTTGCATACKGATTGATTCTTCTTGCTCATTAGCATGCATGGCTCTTCTAGGTTGTACTGTTYATGTGTTTTATAAAATATTTAATGGTTGCTTCATTTGAACAAGGAGGGATTTTTATCGGGCAAGTGGATACTTGTCGTACTTCAGTTCTAATGAAGCTTAGTATTACCTAATTTGTCTGTTGATAAAAGAATTTCCTCAGAATGCTTCTTAAAAAAATTTTAAAAGCAGATTTGTTTCTGTTAATAATTAATTATATGAGCCCATGCTCTATTCACAACCCTTAACATAATAAAGTATAAAGCTTGTTTAGACACAGTTTGGATTTGGCAAGCAGCTCTAGAAAGGCATGATCCAAGGGGAAAAAAAAGGAAAAAAGAAARRAYAGCCTTTGMTAAGATGTAGGTAGTTATTTTGTGAAGTTTAACTGTGTTTCAGCTCATCCATTTAGTCAAAATAAAAGTTTCCAAAGAAGCTACACAATATGTAAAGACATTACACTTAAAATAAAGCTAAAAATGTCTCTRTCAAAGACTGCTCTTAGCTCAAGTATGTTGTAAGTATTTGGATGGTGAAAATTTCATTGTATTGGGATGATGAGGATGTAGTTTCCGCCTGGGTTCCAGGAAACATAAGTAATACTACCATCAGCAAAGTCATTGGCCCCAGCTGAGAAACTAGAGACCTTTAATCTTCTTGCCACTGTCTGCTTCATTTGAAACCATCAGGTAAATTCAGCACTTCTCATCATCTCTAAACTACTTGCCCTGGTTACACGAAGAGCCCCTCCACCTTTACTTTGCCATGTCTGGCTGCACACTGGAGGTTTCTGAGGCAAGGCTTGTTACCTTCCTTCGCCTCTGCCACAGGTGCTTCCACAGTTTGATGGCTCTGGACCCATTAACTCTAAGGATGAGAGGGYCTCTTATTGAGAATTATGAGCATGGAAGAAGAGTGAGCAATATAATACAGGAGCTGTGCACCTACAGAGGGGAAAAAAATCTAGCTTTTCTAGTGAAGGGTAATTGATTACTRTCATCAGTCCCTAACATACTTCATAGGAATAGGATTGTAGCACCTTATACTGATGTATTGATGTATATGAAATATACAGGGATAAATTAAGGAAGGTGACCTGAACCACAGGCATGACAAATGAAGTTGCTGTGAGGCTTGAAACCAGACCTTTCTGTTTATACTRTAAAGGGCTACCTCTGCAATGTCAGTCTGTTTTATTTATGATAGCTAAAAATCCACCCTTACGTGATTTGCAGAAGTCACATTTACCTTTCTCCTGTAGGTGTGTRGGAAGCGGAAGTGATCAAGACCTCRTTTTGCAGAGTCGTTATGAAATAATAGAAACAATTATGCAARAGTTGGTTTTTATTATATTACTTCATAATATGCATTCAATATGATACAGTAGCATTTGAATCTTARGCTACAAATCCTCAGTTGTGTCTCTAAAAACCAAAATTTATAAGCAAATTTTCTTATAAAATGGAAATAGTTTGTGTTCATTTGCTATTAACTTTRTTGTTGGATTTGAGGTTAGTGGATGAAGATGCTACTATTTTAATGAAAAGCATAATGCTCTTTGTTTTATTTTTCTGGTTTAGTTATTTGGATGGAAATCAGTTTACCCTTGTTCCAAAAGAGCTTTCGAACTACAAGCATTTAACACTCATGTAAGTAGTTTTAAAGCAATTTTCTCTACTGGAATTAAAAAAAAAAAAAAAACCAAAAACTTAAATACCCTACTCTATTATACCTGAATTTATTTATAAGAAAAAAGCTTGTAAAAATTAATAATATCAAACCATATTTTATTAATGAGAATATTTTATTCTACTTATCGTATACTACATGTAATATACTGTCACATTTTATGAACATGTGGGCACATTTTATTCCAGTGATTACATCACAAAATAAAAAAGAAAAAATTATAGTTGACCTCAAAAGTAATGTAAGATCTTACAAAGTGAGGGTAATMGTTTCTCCTGCAATATATGGTTTTCATGACCCAAGCAGAGAGCTTGTCTAAAATGCCTTGCTGAGAGCTCTATTGCTGACTCACTATGTGATTTGAAGCAAAACACTAGTTGGTCTAAAATTTATTACCTCTACCTCATCGTTTGAATATGTTTTCTGTTCCTTTCAGTACAGAGAAAAACAGGAAGACTGTAGATGTAAATGGCTGTAATTCCATGGTCTTTGTTAGGACTRTAGAAATTTATTCCAGCTGAGGCTGAACTTTGTTACATTCTGAAAGCAGTTTGTGGTTTCATTATAATCAGAATGAAAAGTGGAGGGGAGTAACAGAATCCCTTAGATTTCATTTTTCACTGGTTTTAAAGAAATTCAAAAACAGGAGCTTGATTTCCTTTATTTACCTCATGTTAGACAAAAGAAGTCACAATCACAAATTTTAAAAAAAAACCATACTTTCAAAACTTTTCATATTTTTCAAATACCATCAGGAAAAAGAACCTTRCAGCATTTTCAGGTCTATCCAGTGTAGAACTTGTAGGAAATCTTTGTGAGTTGTTTAGGGAAGAGATGAAGGGTAAATAGAATGCAAACTAGTATTAAGGGTGTCCATTTTTCAGACCTACAGGGCACATTATATTAAACTCTTATGTATGTTTACTCATGCTGCTGTAATATAGTTGAGAATATTCCTCAGCTGTGTTTGGAAAATGAAACCACTATGCATAGTCCTGTGGCGAAAGAAAGAATTACATTCGAGTCTCCTGAGTTCCAGATTAACAGGGAAATTTGTTTATTTTTATCTTTTTCTTTTTTTTTTAATATATTGCTTTTTTTTAATACTTGCCTAATACATTTGTTATGAATTAGTTATCTTACATGCTCTCATGAAAGTGTCCAGTGGGGAAATATGTATATTGCATAGCTATTCTACAGTGCTCTTAGGTTAATAGATGAAGGTCCCCTCAGAAACAAAGGCAGTATTTCAGCACAAAATATACTAAACAATAGGGAAATGGTCAACATAAAATGAAAAGTAAAGCACAATACAAGAATAAAGAACAGGCAGTATTCACATTTAATGCAGCCTCTTTGAACTATCAGCATATTACTCCAGCTTCCATCATACTCATGTTTAATATTTTATTCATGAGAATATTGAACAAAAAAAGATGTTAAAAATTTTTCTGTAAATCTTAGTTAAGGCTCTTTATAATAATAGCTCTGGGCTTTGATGTCTTCAGCATAAAARTGTTAAATAGAGTATTAAATTATATTTACTTAGGTGTCATTAGGCACATGACGAGAATGATTTCCACTTGAAAACATCACTTTCATTTTTGTACTTGAGTTCATGAAGGATTGCATTATTAACTTGGTAGCATGATGAACATTGCTATTGYATTAAAATGCATTGCACTGCTTTTTCATATGTGTTGAAATGAGAATGCTTTTTATTGACCAGGCTAAACAGTTTCTGGGCTTGTATATGGCATGTGAAAATAAAAACAGGTGCTGCTTTAAATAGTTCTATCAATGATGATACTACTTCTACTAATGAAAATGTGTCTGTCAGTTTAACTTGCAGTGTTTCGGGACTGGGGCAGTCATTTTAAGGTCTGAATTTCTGAATTTGTTTTTTAGAGATTTAAGTAACAACAGAATCAGCACTCTTTCTAATCAGAGCTTCAGCAACATGACTCAGCTGCTCACCTTGTAAGTTTAAACAYGGAACAGTAACTCTTTGGAAGCATTGAAGTGGTTTTTTTTTTGTCTTGGAAAGAAAGGGAATTTGGTTGATATTAAAACTTGCTTGGTTTGGAGGCTGTAAAATAACTTGTTTCCTAACTAGGTATGTGTGCAAAACCTGATTTTGTTCATGCTCTGCATTGTTTACTGAATGATTGATACACTTGCTGACAGTATTTTATTTATTTGCAGAATTCTTAGTTACAATCGCCTAAGATGTATCCCTGCACGGACTTTTGATGGGTTGAAATCACTTAGGTTGTTGTAAGTATTCTTTTTTAACCATTCCTATTTTCCATAATTTTTATTTGTGTACAGAAGATCACAGAACTGTAAGAAGTTAGCAGATTTTAAAACCTATAAAAAATCTGAGACGTGATAATTAGGTAGCCTTAAAAATCTAAGCGGTTCATTCTGGGTACCTACAATCTAAAAATAGTGCACAAAAAGATAAATGATCCTGGAGACATTTCATATACAGACATACACTTWTATTTTTCTKCTTTCTTTCTTTTTTTCTTCTTTTTCTGTTATATTCTTTCTTGTTRTAAGCATTAAAATTTAGCAAAAATGCCATATGCATAAATTCCTTCAGTGTATATGAGTATATATGAGCAGGGTTTGCAGTTGAATTTTGAATATTTTTGTTCCAACAGTAAATTTCTTTCTGTTTCTGTCATGTTTCATTTAATGTTGGAGTATTTCCCAAACCATGACATCGTAGTTACTTATTCAAAATCAATAACTTTACTTTTTGGTTGCAAGAAAACTTCCGATTTTACCACTAGGAAAAACATGATTGATAGAGCACAAAAATGGACAAAGAAAAATAAAGAGCAGTCCATCTCATTTACAGCTTCAGTTTGTCATTAAGAAAAAAGCTTGCAAAAATTCCTGTTCAAATGTCCAGAGAGGAACATGTAATTTTTGCCTCCATTTGGGTCATTTATAACCATTTAAATACTTGGTTGGTTGAAATACCTCAAGCATGGCATTAAGTGTGCTTTCATAACTTCAATATAAATATGGATAATTTCAAGAACTGTAMTTCTATATGTGTTAGATATTCATGTAACTGAACAAATTTATAGAAAAGRAGAAATATTTTTCACAGAACCACTGAATAAACTGAGTGGGAAGRGACCCACAAGGATCACTGGGTCCAACTCCTKGCCCTGCACAGCACCATCCCAAAGAGTCACCYCGTATGTCTGAGAGCATTGTCCAAATGCTTCTTGAACTCTGTCAGGTTTGGTGCTGTGACMMYTTCCCTGGGAAGCCTGTTCAGTGCCCARCCACTCTCTGGGTGAAAAACCTTTCACCAATACCCAACCTAAACCTCCCCTGACACAACTTCAGGTCATTCCCTTGGTCCTGTCACTGTCACCACAGAGAAGAGATCAGTGCCTGCCCCTCCTCTCCCCTCACCAGGAAGTTTTAACTGCAGTGAGGTCTCCCCTCAGTCTCCTCCAGGSTGAACAGACCAAGTGACCTCAACTGCTCCTCCTATGGATTCCCCTCCAGACCCTTCACCACCATCATTCATCTTCTTTGGACACTTTTTAATAGCTTTATAACTTTCTTGTATTGTGGCACCCAAACCTGCCCCCAATGCTCAAGTTGAGGCTGCCCCAGCCCAGAGCAGAGCAGGACAATCCCTCCCTTGCCTGGCTGGCGATGCCGTGCCTGATGTCCCCAGGACAGGGCTGTCCCTCCTGGCTGCCAGGCACTGCTGGCTCACATTCAGCTGTCACTGACCAGRACCCCCAGGTCCCTTTCCATAGTGCTGCTCTCCAGCTTCTTGCTCCCCAGTCCATACACACAAGCAGGATTGCCCTGTCCAAGGTGCAGAATCCAGCAATTTCCCTTGCTGAAATTCATGTGGTTGGTGAAACCAGTGGGTTTGCTACAAAAGAAATATCACTATTCCCAGTATTGATGCTGAAAGATTGAAGTCTTTCATCCTCTACTATCAAATYAGGTCAAAAGCATTACAAATTGCATTAACAATCAATACCTGTATGTTCTATGAATCCATGAAAGATGAAAAAGAACACATGAACCTAATTAATGCAAATTTCAAGGAGTTCCTGAAAAAGTCAGAAACTCTTCTGCTGTCTGCTGTCTCTAAACCAAATCATTACTTTGCAGAATTGGGCCTATCTTTATCAACTTTTATTTTTCAATTTTAAAATAATCATAGTATTTATATTTYTTATGAAAGTCCAGGATGCAAAAAATCAGATTACAAGTAGGCTGCCAGTTACAGTTTGCCAAAAAAACCCAAAACCCCAAACGGTTGAAAACACTGAGGAACTGGAAAAAATAAAAGTGTGAAAAGCTAAAATCTGTTGAAAGAAGATTCAATTTGCCAAGTTGACTGGATAATTTTTATGCATTGATATTATTGTGTTTATTCTTTCTTTAAGGTCTTTACATGGCAATGATATTTCTGTTGTTCCTGAAGGAGCTTTTAATGATCTTTCAGCATTATCACACCTGTGAGTATTCAGCTGCTGTTTTGGGGGTTTTTTTGTTTGTTGAGGCTTTTTTTGTTGTTTGTTTATTTGTTTTTGTTATGCTTGGCAAATTTAATGTAGTCAGACAAAGATGTAATGCAGAGAAGTTCTCAGGAAGAAGCTCATGCATATGTAGAGGCTGGGGAGGAGACTTGCCCGGGAACTGCAGCATCTCAGCAGAAAAATCCTGGACCTGCTGCTGGGCTGCAAATTGAACTTGTCTGCCCTTGTCTGAATTGTCTGCCCTGTGTCCTTATGGCAGCGAAGGCTAAAGATGCTCTGGGCTAAATTTGAAAGTGAGCAGCAGGGGATTGAGGATACCTAGCACTCCTTTCTGTTTGGCCCTCCTAGGGCCAYATCTGGAATATGTGTTCAGCTTCTCCAGTACAAAGCAGATGTTTATGAATGACAGCAAACCCAGGTTAGGGGCAAGCAGGATTGGGGGTTGGCTGGATTGCACGAGCTGTAAGGAGAAGCTACAGGAACWGGGCTTCTCTAAGCTGAAGAAAGGGATGCCAAGGAGAGACCTCATAGTCTTGAAGCCTCTAAGGATTACAGCAATGATGGAGACTCAGAGACACACAGTGAGGAATCAAAGTAAATAGTCAAAACCTGCAAAAAGGRAAATTTAATCAAACATAGGAAAAATTCTTCACTGTGAGGGTAGTTCAGCCCAGTTGCCCAAAGAAGCAGTAGAATCTCCATCCCTGGAGATTTTCAGAGCTCAGTTGGAAATAACCCTGAGCAATCCTGACTGCCAATGTAGCCTTACTTTGCGCAAGAGGTGAGACTAGATGACCCCCAGAGTGCCCTAAATATTTCTATGATTCTGTGTCAGTGTCTGTTGAGCTGACATAAACACATCACATCTGATTCCAGAACATAATTTGAGGCAATAGTTTTCTGGTTTTTAATTTTCATTGGGTATCTAAATTAGAACAAGCTACCTTCTGCAAATATTGTGCTATTTATGGATTGTGAAGGCTTTGAGGAGTAAGTTGACTGGTGCCTTCAGATATATCTGGGGGTTTAGGCTTCTGAACAGCAGCATCTGTTAAAAACTTAATTATCTGTGTCTCATTCAGTATTGGACATTTACATTTRGCTTGCCATTTCTCAGAAATTTCATACTGATTGAGCTTTCAGTCATTGATAATTCATTCAAATGCTACTATTAAACTGATTTATCTGCATGAAATATCAGTAAAACTTGCATGGATTTGATTGTTGCTGGTATTTTCTTCTTCATGGATACCAATTATCCTTTTTAATATTCTGATTTTTGCAGAACAATTTTGTTATCTCAGTTCAGGCTGATATCCAGTCTTGAAAATATGGAATGGAAATTCTCAGTGTTTCTCCTTGCAAGGGAAGTTCCCTTGTCACTAAGTCTTTTTTTTTTTTTTTTTTTTTTTTTTTTTTTTTTTTTTTTNTTTTTTTTACTGTTCTGACACAAGCCTGAGTAAACAAATATGTGTATTTTCTTGAGTTCAGCTTGAATGTAGCAAAATTGAGAGGGCTTTCTGCTCAATGGGGCAAAAAAGAGTGTGTCAGTTCTGGTAGTTTCTTCTGCCTTTGCTCACCAAAGACTTTCTTCTATCTCTAAGAAAACCCACTGATTCCAAGCTGTGAAACAATCTGAAAAAAAGGATTGAAACATCTGGAGAAGGACAAGAATGTTCCAATATTGCCATTTAATACTGTTTGCACGAGTTGAGATTATCTGCTTAAAGTTCCATGATTATTGTATTTTTTAAAAGAAACATGAGTACATCTTTACAGAATAGCATAATGCTTCAATCTTCCAAATTAACTGCATAGTGCATCATTGTTTTCAGAGTTTTAAGAGTATTTATAGTTTCCAGCAGAGAAAATAGACACTTACAAAGCTGTTACAGAAATTAATTCTGAAAATCTCTAGCTAAATTGTTTTTTAATTAAGAAAATTACAAGGATCATCATTTAAAGAAATGGATTTGCTTTCATAATGAGGCAATTTTTRTGTAACTACCACAAAGCTAGGATAATGTAGTTTTATTTACTTATGCAGCAGAGACCTCTTACCAAATTCTGCACATAGGTGTGAGTTCAGTGAGAGAGGTCCAAAGAGGAAATAATTAAATCAAATTTGGAAGCTTAGAAACAGATGGTTTGTACCAGCCTGGAAGCCCTAAACAGAAAAGGAAAAATATCAGGGCAGAACTCTGTGGAATTCTCTTGACCATTTCAGAAGAAATACTTTATTCTTATTAACTTAATTTCCTTGTATTGGTTTCACTGTGCTGATGCWGCTGATCTTTGCCTTACAAACGACAGTCAGTATTAGCTCACTAACGTTCACACATAGTGCTGTCAAGACCATATTTCTACTAAAATTTTCACTTCTTGAACTAGAACCCAAATCCAGACACTTAGTGCTCTAACAGGCATTTTGCTGGTGGGAGAGCAGGTTTGGGTTTTGAATCTTTTTTGCCTACCTGTTTTCAGCCTTCTTCTATAAGAAGCAGCAATTTAAAACTTGATTCTCTTTTTTGTTTATCTGTTTTCCACAGGGCTATTGGAGCAAATCCTCTTTATTGTGATTGTAACATGCAGTGGTTATCTGACTGGGTAAAATCAGAATACAAAGAACCTGGTATTGCACGTTGTGCTGGTCCTGGAGAAATGGCAGATAAACTTCTTCTCACAACTCCTTCTAAGAAGTTTACTTGCCAAGGTACTGTTGTTATTTTTTTTTCTATTTGAAGTGTCAGTGTTTAATTTTTGCAAACAGTTGAGCTGTGAATTAAGAATCTTGTGCACTAAAACTGCATTTATTGCAGCATCTTCACTCAGCCTTGTCATTATTACTCAGGGATATTGCTATTGGTTCCATTCAGGAAATGTGTTTTTAAAAATTTAAKATAATTTAAATTCCTATCTCTTTTAAAATAGATAGACAAAAAATTCTTTGGACCTGCAATACAGTATTCCTGATATACATAGTACATGATGTACATAGGTACATATTCGTACTGCTTCGTTCATTTAAAATTAATATTTTAAATACTCTACTCTTCCTTTGGCCTTTTTCCTTCAAGCTCTTCACCTTAAAAACTGTAAATATATCCAAAATCTTTGCAGTCTGCAATTGAATGCATAATATGTCTCTGATATTTCAGAAGAAAGCACAAAGCAAAACAAAACAAAATTAACCAAGCACACAAACAAACAAACAAACAAACAATAAAAAAGAAAAAAAAATAAATAAAGAGAAAGGTAGATAAAGGAATGTGATAACTACTCTAGAGGTCTCGTAAAATGTTGTTAAATTGATAGGTTTCTCAGGGATATTTAACTCCATGTTGGTACCAATGTTGCTGGCGTTTATATCACAACTTGTATTACTATTTGYAAATTCCTAGGTTCTTGTTCTGAACTGTACTATTACTTTTCAGAAAAGCATCCTTTTTTACTTACATCAAGTGAGAACTTGATTTTTTTTCTATTTAATCTTCCCCTATTCCATCAATTTATCCCTTCTTAAATAGTTTGAAAACACAGAGAGCTTCTATTGTAGCTTCATTTTTCATGGTTCTGATTTAGAAACATTGAAACCCCAATTGAAAAAAAAAAAAAATATGTGTTCTTATATTTGTAAGCCATTACTAAGCTCATTGTGGTTTTGGAGGCATCAGATGAATATGATCTTTAGTCTTGTAGAAGTAAGTTATTCTTAGTGTCTAGGTAATCCTCAAGCTGTTTTGACTTATTGATCTTTGAATGTATCTTCAAGGGTGAGCTTTATCCCTTTGTCATTTTATTCTTTAAAAAGCACTGAGACTTTGTTAGAGTTTGTCTTATCCAAAGTTTTTCTTTACTACATATTTAGTCTCTTTAGTCCTTTCTCTTTAGACTTTCTGTCAAAAAAGTTTGGGTTTTTTTAAATATAAAAACCTCTGGAAGCCATCTTGTTACTTGTGATGCCAGTGAAATTTTTTTCCCTCTGAATCTTTCTTGAAWTTTTTCAGCAGTACATCTCTGAGGCCATGCCAGTGTCCATTGCATATGACACTCATCTGTTGCAAAGTCACTTAGCCTGATTTTAGAGAGGAYATTTGCTGGGTGGTCATTTTCTTTACAAGCATCCACTGAATTATATTGCAGATATGCTCTTGTTGCACACTGGAATAGGGATACAAGTGAAGGAACTTTTGTGTGGACATGAAGAAACTGTTTAGTTATTTTCCAGCTTTGTCAATCTTACAAACAGTATCACTTCTGCCTACAATCATTGTTACGTTTCTGTCAGACAATCCAGAAAGTGTATCTTACTCCCTCTTGCCCATCASAAAATATCCTTCATATTATTACACAGGTTAAGAACTGTGTATTTGTTTCACTTCCAAGACTGGAGATCTGGTATTATGGATACCTTTGAAAGAAAATAATTTTCCTGCCACTGTCCTATGAAGATGCTCATAATTACAGATAGATTTCAAATCAGCAGCTTTTCATTGACAGGTTGGCCATGTTAGATATTTTGCATTTGTTGCTCAAAGATAAGTAATTTTATTTTTTTCTTAAAAATGAACTGCTGACTAACAGAAATTAGGAAGATGCTATGTTCCTAGTAGAATGGAAATTTTTGGCTATGAATAAAAAGGTGTTTTCAGAATATCTGTTGATGGGCTTCTACTGTACATGAGTTTACAGGAAAAGAGTAATGTATAATTCCTTCTCATCACTATCTATGTGTGCAATTGATAGTGAAATGGGTGCTTGAATTTTACCTACATAATAAATAGTTCCCAGTGAGAATGGAATTTTATAGTAAAATCTCATCCCAGTTTTAAAGCTCAACAAAATCACTTTACCTTACTCTAATTTTATGAATTCCTTAACTGCAGGAATCATCCGTTAATATTTTCTTCTTCCAGTTACTTTTCTACATTTGTGGGTGGGTTTTTTCTTTTTTTTTTTTTTTTTTTTTTTTTTTTTGGCCTCTAACAGTTTCTTAATCTTTTGCCTCTTACCATCCATGCCCTAGAGATTCCAGGGCCTTGTGGTTTTCTGATACCAGGTAAGGTTATAAGATCTGGAATGGGTGATCTGATTAAGAACAGACCTTCTGACCTTCCTTTTGTGTACCTCAAGCAGACTTCTTTCCTAAGACATGCATGTTTACTGTTCGTTSTCCCCTGTGATGAATTTACAACTGATTATTCATAATATCTTATTTAGCATATTGCATGAACAGTTTTGTTATTTCAAAAGTCTAGGTTTGAAATCTGAAAGTTATCTAAATGCAATTATTACTTCCATTGCACTGTACTACAACTGATGATTTCATTAGCAGTGTAGATACTGCTTTTGAGGCCATRTGAATGAGAGGAGTCATAAAATGTCAGACCTCAAAGCTTTTCTTGCAACAGGTTTCTCTAGAAGCTGGTTTGAGAGGCTTTGTGTCACAGTTTTTCTTAAAACATCTTAGCTACATTTATGTATCTACGTTTGGCAATAAAATACTGTTAGTTTTTCTCTGTTTACAAAAGAATTTTTTTTTCTCAGTAAGGGCTTATCAAGAGCATAGATGTCTACAATTTGAAAAACTAAACTAAACAATAGGTTATGAACCAAGTTCTTCATATTCAAGTCTTTTAACACATGCAAGCAGGAAGAGGAAAGAACCAGTACAGTGGAAATGAAAATAGGTTCCAAAACTGCCTTTGCATTTATTTAATCTTACAACTGAAGAATGATAAATCAAAATATTCATTTATATTGGATAGTACATACATATTAGATTGAAATAAATAAAGTACAAAATCAGATAATGTTGTTTACTAACTTGTTGAGATTTAGGTTCCCACTTTCTGTGTCTGTTTTGGAAGTAAAATTTAGATTGTTAATCCATTTGGGAACAAGACCTTAGTTACTGAATGTTTTTTAATTTCTGCCAATTAATTAGCATTTTATTGCATGAAAAGTTGAAAAGGGGTTATAATATTCAGAATAAACAGAAGGAAGGATTGACTCCCAGGCTACAGCACAGTGTTACAAATTTTTATGTATGAGCCTCTTTCAATTGATTTTTTTCACAGARCCTCTTAATATAACAATAATCAGCAATAGTCTAGAGTACAGCCAGGACTTTCTAGATGTTCTGTGATGTCTGTTCCAACTTTTCTGTCTCTCCTGTGTGCTGATCTTACAGATACTTTAACCAGGTATAGATTTTTCTTTCAAAATAATGAAATAAAGGGGAAAAAAACCAACGATCCATACAGATTATGGCTTTGGCAATAAGCGCCTTATCACATATTACTGTGTTCTGCTTGCAAGCTGTGACACAGAAGGATACCAACAACTGCAGATTAAAAAAAAAAAAATTAAAAAGCCACCCACTCTTTGTCTAACACACTCCCTACTGGATCCTTACAGTCACATGGCTTCCTTCCAGGCGAGCTCCTTTACAGTTAATCTGAGATTAATTTGCAAAGAAAAGTAAGATAATTAAGCAATCTAAGTTTTAAAATTATATAAAGGCCCATATTTCAGCAAAGCCCTTTTAGCTTGGAAGATTCTGCAGTTTTGGCTCATTTTGTAGGTGCCAGGAGTTTGGGGTTTTTTTTTTTTACATCTAGAAGAAATCACTGTTTATTCCTTCAAAGGAACAATTCTGTGTATAACTGAAAGGGTTTGTTTTTTTTTAATAGGGGAAATCAGGAATTAAACTGGAGGCAGTATTGTCATCAGGCAATAGAGCTGGAGATAGAGAATGTATCTTAATTACCTTAATAAGCATTTGGCAAAGTCACCCATTTTTCTCTCACAGTAATCAAACCACAGAAAAATTATGAAAATTAATCATTATTTCTGCAGAGGTATTTTTTATTTTTTAACTAGCAACCAGTGATTTCTTTGGCTGTTTGACAAAAAAAAAAAAAAAAAAAAAAAAAAAAAAAAAAAAAATTCTAACTTTAAAATTCACCTTAAAATGGCTGTAGAATTGGAAAACAACACAAAAAATCTTAAAAATATTTATGTGACAAAGATTTGTGTAAGTCAAAACTCTAAGTCTGGGTTCTGAAACTTAAGAGTTTTGTCAATTTTGATTTCTGAATTCTTTCATTATAATCATTAATAGAAGAAGCTAGATTGCAAGCATGGATTTCAGTCTTCATTTGCTCATAATTCGTGGTACAGTTTACATAATTTGCAGGCACAGGTAACACAGTAATGCACAAAAGACACAAGAAGAAAGACACAGTACAGAGCTATTTATGGATAGTGAGAGAACTTGTACAATGCAATTTAAATTGAAACTCTTTGCAGATGTTCAAGAAGTTTACAGGTAATTTTGCCRTTTTGTTTTGCCATCTATGTGATCCTACAGATAAAAAATAAGTTAAAGCAAAAATGCATTTAAAAAAGTGTTCTCACACAGTCACGGGAAGGATTGCAAACTGATAGCCTGTTTTCTCAAAAAACATAACAAAACAAAGGTTGAAATTGCCTTCTTCATTTTGTTAATACAAAGGGAAGGTAATTATCATGGATCAGAACTGTACAGCTTTCAGAGAATAAGAATATGGCAATCACTTTGGTGTCAGTTTCTTAACAAGACCCATAAAGTGGTACTTAAACTAAAAATACAATCCCAAATTTATTTGGTTGCATCAAAAGAATGAAGGACAGTTGAGCATTTCATTAATATAGAAACACCAYAAAGCCTAAAATATAAAGTGTATTTTAAAATTTAAAGCAACATGGCAGATAGATGTTGTCTGATATAAATTAGTAGTTGCTTGTTTYTGACTATACAATTTGTGTTTTTAAGGACCTGTGGATGTTAATATTCTTGCAAAGTGTAATCCCTGTTTATCAAACCCATGTAAAAATGATGGAACCTGCAATAATGATCCAGTTGACTTCTACAGATGTACATGTCCATATGGTTTCAAGGTAGGCACTACATGAAGAGAAAAAAGCTCACTGAAATGTAAGCTTATCCTTAACAGCCTTTAAGACAATATTTTCTGTCTCCCTTCCATTAATGTCTGTATTTTCTTCTTACATTATAATTGTTGTTCCCTGTGTAGGGTCAAGACTGTGATATTCCYATTCACGCTTGCATTAGTAACCCGTGCCACCATGGTGGAACTTGTCATTTGAAAGAAGGAGAAAAAGATGGTTTCTGGTAGGTTTTTTAATTGTAAAAGCAGGGTGAAAAACTACTGAATTTTACAAAGTGAAATAATGTTGATGTTCATCTTTAGATTCTCTGTGTTTGCTGGTGAGTGGAGCACAAAGGCAGATTTTTAGTGCTTCGTATGTTTTCAGAACATGCTGCCATCCTGGGAAAGCTTCTAAAGCTTTGAGTCTGTTGARAACAATAATAAATGATTGTGATTATTTGAGGCATATCAGGTCAAGACAGCATAGTATTGACTCCATTATGTTAATTAATAGCTAGCTAGATCCCTGCTGAAAAAATCTCATAATTCATCTGTTGTTGTGTGTATTACCTCAACAGACAGCATGTAAATGATAAAATGTAAATCCCAGTGAAACAGAAAATTAATGATTCATTTGAAACTCACTATGCCAGCAGATAAACATGCTGTGAGCATTTTTAATCTTGAGTTATTTAATCACACAGTACAATTACTCCAGATGTACTTCATGAATTATGAAATAAAGTTCTTTAGCATTCTTATGTGAGATTATTAGTCATTTAATAATCTACACCTCAAGCTTGTTAGAAATGACACTTCAAAAAGATACAATTCATTATCCTGCAATTCATTATGACATTATTGTTACTTTTAATCCATATTCTGACCAAGGATTAAATAGCCTTCTATTAAACATTRAGTGTATACATCTTAATACTATGCCTCAAGAATTTAAACTATCATAGTCGTGCCTCAGAATTTGCCCTTTTTCATTTATTTGTTTGAACACTACATATTATGAAAATCAAAGCAATCCCATTGAGAAAGCTTTAGAAWTTATATATACGTGAAAATGTATGTGTAATCATGTTTGAGTGATTTTACTTTTATTATTTTGATGCAATTGTTTACCATAAACAAATTATTAAAATCAAAAAATAAATTGCTGCTTTGAAGAATTTATACAGGCTTTGTTTTTTTTATATGAAAGCATGTACATTAAAGAGAGRTTTGTATTGGTGCGTTTAATTGAATGATTGTGGAAAACCATTACATATTAATTGTTGATTTCACAGTATTTTCCATGTATTTAACCTTAAAAAACCAAAAGGATCACTTTCCATAAGAAATATAATCTCATACTATAAAGTAAGCATGCTTTTCAAAAGGAATGCTCCATGCTTTAATTTAGCAGGGTCCTTAAATTAAAGATTAAGGTATGACTTGTGAAGCATTTTTCTGTAATTTAAAATACGAACAGTACTTTGGGATTGTTTATTATAACAGCTTTTTACATGTTTTCTTAAGTAATAGTGATTATGGATTATTGTACCTARCAATTACAGAACTCCTTGTCTGGTCTCCCCACCTAAAATGTCCATGTGGTTATTTCGTTCTCCATATTACAGGTGCACCTGTGCAGATGGATTTGAAGGTGAAAACTGTGAAGTAAATGTTGATGACTGTGAAGACAATGACTGTGAAAACAATTCTACTTGTGTGGATGGAATTAATAACTATACTTGCCTTTGTCCACCTGAATACACAGGTAGGTGTATAAGAGAAAGCACAGGTCATTCAAGAATTCCTTGCAGAACAGTAATATTTTCCTCTTTGCAGGTGAATTAATAGTTATTCTGCAGCTGACCTAGTATCAAGTTTCCCTCCATATTTTTCTCCTCTACAGTTTGTAGTCAAAACCAGACTTAATGTCCACTCATTAATTCTATTTTCAGTTTTGAAATCACAGCATTTTTGTATTTAAAAGGTAATTCAAAATGTGTCCCTCCTACTGTTTGCCTAGACATCCCASTGGAGGACCTCTGTAGCTGTAGAAATCTGAAAAATATTCTACTTTAATCCTGTAATCCTCATCCTACTATAAAGAATTTGTCAGTGCCATTGGGGAACTGTATTTAGCACCCCTGGATGCTGTTCTCACTCTGCTAGAAATATTAATACCAAGWGGGGTGCTTCCTGCACAGAATAAAAGGACAAGGTCTAATCACTTGTTTCTGTCAGTCAGCAGCCAAAGCAAATCCTTCACTTTGTGACAGARGATCTCTTGCTTGCTGTCATGGTCTCTGTGGGAATGGAGGGTAGTYGGAACAGCAGCACAGAGGAAGTAGGAACTATTGTTTGCACTAATATATTTTATACCTTTTCTAATGAAACAGACCTATTTTGTATCAGCTAACTGACCACAAGAAGAACATAGAACTTAAATTCATTATGATTTTGAAAAGCATGAAAAAGAAATGTAAGATCCACCATAACCTGGGAATTAACTCTACTCAGTCATCCTATAATTTTACATTAATCAGTCAATCAAAGTTGAGCTCTGGGAAGCTGTAGGGACAGGTGAACACATGAATTAATTTAATTTATTGAAAACCCAGCTACTCCTTTCTCATCCAATGTGTTTCCATCACTAGTTCTACAAAGTGTTGGATTATTCCCATGTTTTACAGTATCCAGRTTTAAAGTCAATATTTATCTATTGGAAATATCCAGTGGGTGAAGATGTTAAAACACAAGTATAAGAAACACAACTTCATAATCTAATATAGGTATTGATCCAGTACTTATTCTGGGTAAATGTTGGGTAGAAATTTCCCCATGCAGAATAAGCTAYAAAAGCCAAAAAGCTACTAAATAASTGGATGATACATGGCTGGAAGGACAGACATAATCTTCTGCTAAAACAAAATACTGTTTTGCCAAGTACCAATACCTCAAAACCTAAGAGCAATTTACAATTCAAGCCTTGGGAAAAAAATAAAAGCCTCCGTTAGTAGAAGTAAGTGTTTTCKATTTCTCCCACAACTAATATTCCAGGTATATGTGAGTCAAGCTTCAGCTCCCCTGCAATCAGTTGCTGTCTCCTTTAAAAATGGGATCAGGTATTCCTCTTCAGTGGCTTCATGCTAAGAGATTTCATGTACCTATTACATGGCAGATAGTTCATTTGCAAGTGCATTCCTCCTCTRCAGCTTTGCAGGTGCTTTTACCTGTATCATTTATTTCTGTATTTTCAGCTTTACTTAGGGTGGTTTTAATCGCTAGAGTCAATGGTTTGCTGGATTCACCCTATGCCATAGGAAGGAATGCTTTTTATTAAATAYCCATTAAGTGGATAGGAAGGATTGTCTATATGTGCTAGCCTAAAATTTTGATTAAGTGTGCCTGTTGCATTTTTTGAGTATTGTAAATGAAATTTAAATTTTAAATTTAGAATTGAAATTAAAATTGAAGCGTTTCTCTGCACATCTCTATGGATAGAGCAAAAAGGAGAGAATAAATATTGATAAAATGTTTGGTGTTTATATTGTATGATGTTTGCAGCTGTGGTTCTTTAAGTTAAAAAATACAAGAAAATGCATTTTTAAATTTGTTTCATATGTGTGCATAATTTTGCCATAATCATACTGTGAGTTTTACAGACACAATGCCTACTCATAATCTCTGCTGAAGTCAGTAAGACCCATGAGTAGGTGAGAATCTTCTCACCAGGTCTGAAATAAATCAAAGCAATATACCTCTAATCAGTAAGATAAGCCTTCCTGTTAAAAACTGTTGAGAATTTATACTAGCTCATCAGACCTTTTTCAACATTTTTTTTTAAAAAAGGCACTTTAAAAAAAATGCATCTCTGGAGCCTCAACTCATTTTATAGTAATCATAGCAAAAATTCAGGTTTCACATTAGATAGAGTGAAGTACAGAATTTTACAATGTACTGTCTATCATACAAAGCACCTAAGAATAGGGCACAATGCATGAAGTCCTAAGTGATTTTTGAAATTAGTTGTAAGGTGAAAATGTAAAACATGGAGCTAGCCAAGGGGTCCTCACATCTGTCATCCATGACATCCATATCCTTGCATAATATAAAACCCTTCAGTATTAAGAATTAGACTGAAAACAGTCTGAGTACACCAGGATCTAAAAAGGGTAATGTTCAGAATACAAAGCAATTGTACAGTTGCCTCCAGTGTGTATGAGGTACCAAATTATTAATGGAACTTTTMTTTTTCTCTGGACTATAACCCAAGTTGAAAGATCAATAACAGAATTTCTGTCAACAATGTATTGAGTGATTTTCATAAGGTACTTTGTAAACATTTGGATTTTGATATGTGTTCTAACAGGTTTAAATCAGATATGCTTGTTTCTAATATTTTTTTTTTTTTAATGAAAAGTATTTTTCACTAAATGAATTCACATAGTAGCTGGGAAAAAATAGATTAACAATCTGGCAAACAAGATATATATTCAGTGTATACAAAGATTTTTAAATCTTTTAAATTTTTGATCTCTAGCTCAGAAAATCCCTGAGCTGTAAGTTGCTGGAGAGTGGCATGGTGTATATTCTAGGAAACTACTGCTGTAGGYTTGTACTGTTCCCTTCTAGTTCTGTTGACAATGCTCTGAATTGTCTTTGTTCAAGAYGTCACAGCATATATGTACTCAACATGGAAGTTCACCAGCCCAGAATATTTTTCTGGGTGATTGGTTATCTGCAAGTATGYTTTCCATTTCAGCAGCACAGTGTAAGGAAGTCAGCTGAAACCTGCTGGTATGAAACGTAAATCATTCTTCTATAGTTTTATGTTAATATTGAAGGATTGTTAGAATCCAAAATTAATTGTAAAGAACACTGAAGTGTAGAACCTAACAGTCTCTTTGACTTTTCTAACAGTCCCTCAAAAATTGACATTTCTCAACTCTATTTTGTTGATTTAAAAACAAGCAATTAAAAAAGGTTATTGTGTTTTTGCACAAGAATCAGGAATCCATTTTACTCTAAGTTTTACRGCAACCACCACAGCTACAGGTGGAAAGACAAAGTATGGTATTTGCACTATAATATGAGCTTTCTTAAGATCATAGACTATAACTGTGAAACAACAGTAAGCAMATGGAATCAACAGACATTCAGGGTGTCTGATGAAACCTGGAGAAATTTCAAATACCTCACTATGTCCTGCACTCTTTAACCTCGCTATTCTCTTAACATTACCATCTATCTGCTTTATTTTAACCCCAGTCTAGTAAACTTCAGGTCATTTTATGTACATTCTATAGATTACAGATAATCATTTCTCTTGCTCATTGTTCTCAGTCATTAGCTCACAGAATTAGCTGATCYAGAAGTAAAGCCTCTCTTAGGCCACTGGTGGCATGTACTTCTTACCTTTCTGTTTGTTTTGCTCTGCTGTAGGTGAGACTTTGAAGCTTGCTTCATTTTGCTATATCAACCTCTCTGCTGCTATAGTTGTGCATTAGCTTAATGTGCTCTGCTGTTGTATTACAATGTAAAAAGTCTCTTGTCTCTTCTGTCTTTGTCACTGCAAGCTGCTAATCTGAATGAAGTGGAAAAAGGTCAGTTGTCTTTTAAACCTTTCACTTACCTTGGTTTCTCACTTGCCTTTTCTTAAAGGTGCATGGATTTCAGTTAYTGCAAATGACCAAATAAATCGTATAGAGATATAATTTAGAAAGCTCACTGCAAATCCTCAAATTAGGCACTTGGCTGTTGCTGTGAATACATGTCAAAATTGTGTTGTTGAAGATGCAGATTGCTAATCAGGARTACTTTAATACTGCGCTCATTGTCTTTTCTTCAGATGTACTAAAAGTATGTGCAGATACTGATATAGGACTAAAAAASGGTTTTACATTATTATGAGTGTTCTGAAATTCTTATTCTCATCTGGAAGCCATTCCCTGGTTTTGTGCTAATGTATCCTCTGTGTTATAGCACTGTTCTGCTTTAATTTTTTCGATAGATTGTGATACTAGAAAATACACTGGAGTATAAAATGGCAATCTTCTTGCTCATCATTTCTGTGGCTTTCTATTTGCTGTAAATATCTAAAGAAACTGAAATAACCATATTTGTCTGGGACTATGGTAGAAGAAAGGTAATATTGAAGAGATTTATGGCACTAACTTTGGGTGTTTGATTTTTAATTTTTTTTCAGTTTCTGCTTRGCACCTGTCACACTAACAGAGAAGAATATCTTCTCTGCAATCCAATCATATATACAATCTGAGACCTAGCATAATCAATGAAGTTGCATATTCAATATTTATGAAGTTGCATATTTAATTTTAAAGCAATTGAATAATTTGGTGGCAAATTTGCTATTAATTTGATAAACATATTTTCAGTCTTTAAAGCAGTATATTATATATAGTAGTAAAAATGTGTTCATTATCCATGAAATAACATGTTCAGCAAGACTGCAATTATATAATCTATATTGATTAATTTAGACAACTGATGAATAACTCCTRCAACTTGAACTCAGGGTAAATTTTCTCTGCAACTGAAGCAGAGTACATGATATGTCTAGAAAATTATTCCAACCACAGGTTTTCCATGTTTAAGCTCTCTTCCATTTAGACATGTTGCTGTATTTGCATTTTATTGCTGCTCCTCTGGACTACAAAAATAACCTGCTGTTTTCTTGTTTATYACACATATGAACACATTGTAACATATCAAAATTACTGATTATAGAAAGAACAAACTTCCTCTCAA